TTCTATTCTATTCTATTCTATTCTATTCTATTCTATTCTATTCTATTCTATTCTATTCTATTCTGCTCTATTTCTATTTCTATTTCTATTCTACTCTACTCTTCTCTACTCTACTCTACTCTACTCTACTCTACTCTACTCTATTTCTATTCTACTCTATTTCTATTTCTATTCTATTCTATTCTGCTCTATTTCTATTTCTATTTCTACTCTACTCTACTCTACTCTATTCTTTGAGCCAGGGTGAATTGTGGGCTTGCCTTTTTAAACACCCCCTGCCTCTTACATTATGTCCCTGGGCCTAAGATATTTGCTGAATCATACAGAATAACTGACTTAGAAGGGAACTTGGCAGTCTTCTATCCAACCTTCTGCTCAAGCAGAAGACCCTATGCCACTCCAGACAAATTGCTTAAAGAAACCATCGCATTTAATCAGTGATGGGGCACCCACAATTTCTAGACTAGAGGCATGCCGTTTTACTGATCAATTGTTCTGTCAGGAAATTTCTCCTTTAGTCCTAGGTTGGGTCTCTCTTTGTTAAGTTCATCCATTACTTCCTGTCTTGCCTTCAGCGCTTTGGAGAATAGATTGACCCTCTCTTCCTCGTGGCAGCCCCTCAAATATTGGAAGACTCTTTGGTTAGAGTAGACATTCCCAGTTCCAGCAACTGGAACACTGAACGGAGAGATTGGAATGTTTGCAGAAAATGTACACAACCAAGACAGGAAGATAGATTTGGAAAAGCTACGTGCAAAGAGGGCTGCGATTTTAAAAACATCCCGGATCCTCAAAGTTTGACAGATGGGACTGCAGACAAATGCTGCAGAAAACTTTATTCATTGCTTTAAAATGTCAAGGCTCTGCCCCGTATTATTTCTAGTCATCCGCATGTTTGTCAAAATGAGCTGCAGAAAATCAGAACCGTGCGACTGAAAGCTGTCAGGAAATTGCCGTGCCCGCCCCCAGCAGTTTCCGTTGTATTTTAAGACACTGCTCAAAGGAAGACTAGGCTGCAATACATTCACACAAAGCTTTCATCTTCTTTTAAATAGGGGACTTTAATTCTGCCTCAGAGTAGGTGGAGAAAATCTGGGGTGAACAGATTCACGAAGGAAAAAGCAGGAAAAGATCTAATCATTAAAATGGTGCAAAGGAAATGCAGCCTACCCCATTGTGCACTTGGTAATTATAAGGCACCCCAAGGAAGAGTCTCAAAAATAGGCGATTTTTCAGTCTGAACATTTGAAAAGCCAGCTGTAATAAGGAAATTTGAGAATAACTTGGGCAGTGGGAATTGCATCTTTGCTGCACAGACTGCATAGTCAACAGTAACTTTAAGGAAGTTAATTAACGTTCCAAAAACATTGGCATCATGTCAGATTTTATTTTTTAAAATTATTTTGCAGTACAGGAAAACGCTGAGTGCCTTCCCTGTTAACATTCCTGGTAGCTCTTATTTGGGTTAAGGTTTGCTCCCAAAGTTCTGCAAAATTAAAGCAGTGCTCTTGGGATTTTTTTTCAAGCCAGATTGTGCAATCTTGCCTCTTCCTGCCAAGAGCTGTCAGATTCCTTGCCTTTCCTCTGTTGTCCTCCTGCCATTGTAAACCATCTTTCCAGTTTAGCAGACTGCCCTTGTTAAATTCAGAAAGATCTTTACTAGAATCTTTATTATTAAGGGAGACATTCAAATGTTAATGGATAACTCTAAAAGCGCTGGGAACTGTCCTATTAAAACAGATGCTTTGCTGGCATAGTGTGGCTTTGAGCTGCGGAAAGTTTATGGGGGCTTCATACCCAGTTTACTTTCGGGCTCAGAGCAAAAAGTTATTGCTTTTTTCCATGACTGAATTTCTTTGCTTGCTTCTTCTTCTTCTCCTCTTAGGTTTGCCAGTTTGTGATTTCAGTGAACGGGCTCAACGTTCTCCATGCAGATTACAGGACTGTAAGCAACCTCATCTTAACTGGTCCTCGGACCATCGTCATGGAAGTGATGGAAGAAATTGAGCCCTGAGATGGATGCTTGGCCTGCTGCACCACCGTTATGGATTCAGCCCCTGTGCAAACACAAGGGGATCCACCTTATACAAGGGGATAAAAACACACTTTATCTCAGAGATCAATTTTGCCTTCTAAGTACTTTCCTCTCCTCTTTAATAATTGGGTTTTTCAATGGATGTAGTCTAAGACCATGGGTATGCATTGGTGGGTTCTAAACTAGAGAAGCACAAATCAGCTTGTACTACACAAAGGAACTGTTGCACATCCAAGTCATGGCAAGCTTAGATGGTCAATCTTACGGATGGGCAAGATCCGATGCAGCTGTGAAATCTCTTATTAGGAATCATGTTTGTGCCAATCTCTTCAATGTTGTCTTGTTTTTTTTCTTTTAATTCATGTTTTCATTTGTGATTGTATAGAACGAGCACAGTTTTTCCAGTGTAATGTCTCCAGACATATTATGACCACAATTTCTAGAATTCCTAGCCAGCAGAAACAACAACTGAATTGACTGAGAATTCAAGAAATCGGTGTCCAATTTGTTTGGAGCATGTCCAGATACTAGCTTTGATTTTAAGGATCTGGTAACAATTTTCCATTCAAATGTACATCAAGATATAAACTTTTATTTTTAAATAAGGATTGTTACAAATTTGGTACCAAGGAAAGACCCAGTTCTACTTCTTGGACAAGTTATGGAGCAGGAGGCAAGTGGACATTTTAAACATGCCAACTTTGCATAATTATGTCTGTTCTGTAACTTGGTTAATTTTGAAAAGCTAAACCAGTCAGATCTGGTTAGTTCTTTAATAGGAGACCACTAACAAATCCCGAGTCTAAATTTTAGGCTGGGAAGTTGAGAAACTATCTCAAAAGAAAATGATGGTAAATTACTTTCATATTGTTGCCAACAAATGATATGGTTGTATCCATGTAAATCTATCAGGGCTCGAGCTCAATTCAAGGGAATCTTTATCTTTTTATCTATGAAGATGGAGAAGAAACTTTATCGGTTACAACCCTGCCATCATCTTGACAGAATTCACTCCCTACTACACACCACACAGTCCAGTCTTGTTCATAAAGAATATCAGAATTGGAAGGTACCTTGGAGATCATCTAGTCCAACCCCCTACTCCACTTGGAGGCCCTATATCATTTCAGACAAGTGGTTGTCCAGGGTCTTCTTAAAAACTCAGGCAAAGACAAGCCATTTCACTGATTAATTGTTCGGTCAGGAAGTTTCTCCTTATTTCTAAGTTGGATCTCTCCTTGATTAATTTCCATCCATTGCTTCTTGTTTAGTATGAACTGTGGCGGTGCAGTAGTTAGAATACAATATTGCAGGCTAACTCACTGCTCACTGACGGGAGTTTGATACTGACTGGCTCAAGGTTGACTCAGCCTTCCATCCTTCTGAGGTGGGTAAAATGAGGACCCAGATTGTTGGGGGCAAGAGGCTGACTCTGTAAACCGCTTAGAGAGGGCTGTAAAGCACTGTAAAGTGGTATATAAGTCTAAGTGCTATTGCTATGTGCCATATATTTCTGATATTATAGTGTAAGCCATCAACTTGCACTATAATTTGGCTAACAAGCACTTTGTTACAATTTAAATCCTTTTTTTAAATAAATAAGGTGGGTAAATATAGATGCCACAATTTTAAGACACCCAAGATTCCAAGATACTGTTTCGAATACATCTATGATATTGCAAAAAACAAACCAATCTACTCTTGTTTTGTCAGTTGCAGAAGCCTAAGCAAATAAAAATGGAATCTTACAAGCCATGCAGATAAATGTACATTAATCACGGTTGCTTACCATTCTTTAATCTTTCTGCTAATTATGCCCCTGCTAGGGATAAAGACCTCCCACTGATATTCTTTGGGGTCCTGATCAACTTGCCATGGGAAGCTGTGATTCACACATTTCATCTGTCCCTAATAAGATCCCCAGTGGCCAACCTAGACCTGAAATTAATTGTGTGAATGCACTTATCAAATGCAATTTGCTAAACACATAATAGCCACAGGGAAACGTTGATATCAGGAACATGGCAAGCAGAAAGGAAGAATTCAGCTCTCCTCACTAAATACTTTCAGAGCTTCTATGGTTTAGAACAGTAGGCCCCAGCCTTTGCGGATTGGTGGCCCAGTGGAGGGCTGGCAGCAGTGGTGCAATTCAACCAGTTCGATGAGCACACATGCTTCACACCCATGCTCTATAGTTTAAAAAGCCAATTTTCAACTCAATTACTTACCTTCTACTGCCCCTGGGACTAAAACAGCCAAGGTGCGGCAAACCGCCACGTGAATAAGTTGTGGTTAAAAATACCAGGAAATAAAGCATAGGAAAGAGGAGGTGTGGGTGTGTGGGTGGGCCCAAATGCTCACCAGAACTACTGGTTCACCCAAACCGGTCCGAACCAGTAGAATACCACCTCTGGCTGGCAGCTCAACTTACATGAGTAGCAGCCTGGTTTTGAATAGGCCATGGGCCCCTGGTTTAGAACAGGGGTCTCTGTTGAGGTAATTCCCCGTTAGGAGAATGAGCGCATAAGCATACAGGGAGACGTATTTGAGAGGAGTGTTTGAATAATGTACATACAGCACACAGATACACTGTACAGTAAATGTAGGTTTTTACTTCCAGAAACGTTAAGCAAAGTCCAAAATAGGCAGTCCAAAGTCATTCACAGGTAAAATCAGTCAGTTTTCATCCAGGGATAATTCAAATATCAAATTCCAGTGTCAAAAACAGTTCAGTATATTACATTAAATCCAGTAATATCAGTCAATTAGAAGAAATGGAGCAACGGCAATACTTTCCAACAGAAGGAAACAGAGATACACTCACACTCTCTTCTGAAACTCAGACTAAACAACCCAGGTTTCTGGCTCCATCTTATGGCCATTTGAGAAACCACACCTAATTACAGTTTTGCATTTTCTTAAAGATACAGTTTTAAAATGTTTATGCTGGTTTATATATTTCTAACCCAAATAGTTGTTAGGTGACTCATATTCCTAACAGTCTCCAACCTTGACACCTTCAAGACTAGTGGACTTCAACTCCCAGAATTCCTCAGTCAGCAAAAGCTGACAAGAATTCTGGGAGTTGCATTCCACAAATCTTAAAATTGCCAAGTTGTCTGAAGAATTCTGGGAGTTGAAGTCCACCAATCTTAAAGTTGCCAAGGTTGGAGACCCCTGGTTTAGAAGAAACATCCATTGATACCTGTGAGAACTTTCCTGATAATGGACATATTTATTGGGCACTGTGAGGAAGAGCAAAAGGCCTCTCAGCTCTAATTTAGCTGCAGTGAATGTAGGCTCTCTTACAGTATTTACTGGGGAAGGAAGACTTAGGGCAGAAAGGTGAAGGAAACCTGGCCTCCATATTTCGACTGAGGAACACATGGGTTATGTTCACACAACACTATCAGGTCTGGTAAAGATTTGGATCACTCCCAGAAATCATTAAGTATAAGTAGCACAGGTAATTCCTCAGCCAAATCCCACAACTGAGTCTGGAAATCTTGTCATAAATTAAGGCACCCATCATGTGACTGGAACTGTTATTGTTTTTTTTATATTCTGTGGAGTGATTGTTAAACAAACAGCTCGGTCATTAAGTGAATCCATGGTTCTGAATGGGCTTTTTTGTTAGAAACTGACAAAAATGACAAAAGCCAGCCAAACCTATTGCCAAGTGCCTAAAACGCAGACGTGTGACTGCAAGGTTGGGGTAGGGAGTAGGACATTTTACGATGGCCGAAAGTGCTTTATAGACCATAAAGTACCAATACCAAGACCGTGGAAACTCTGAACAGTCCTAAATTAACCAATCATCAGTTGAGGACTACCTATATTAACTTTAATTAGTTTCCTATGGCTTTGTGAGCTGTGTGAATCCAGCCTTTTTAGTTGCTTTGTGATTCGGTTTATTATGGGTATCCAGAAAAAAAATGTTTAATTGTGAACTTAGGCGAACATAACAGATAACAAATCATCAGAGTTGGAAGGGACCTTGTAGGTCATCTAGTCCAACCCCCACCTCCCAAGCAGGAGACCCTACACCATTTCTGACAAATGGCAGTCCAGTCTCTTCTTGAAAGTCTCCAGTGGTGAAGCTCCCACAACTTCCAAGGGCAAGCTGTTCCATTGGTTGATTGTTCTAATAATTAATCTTGCAATAAGTCGTCAATAGTCATTGAAGTCAACTGAAGATGTCCAATCACTTGTGCTCCAGTCCTTCAACAAAATTGTACTATCTCCACTGTGATATAATTTGCAGTGTTAACCATTGAAATGTCCCCTGTCTGTGCAAGGCCATAGCATCCATGCCAGCTAAGTTTGCACATGAAAGGTAGCTTCCTAGTGATCCAGCCATAACAAATGCTCTTGCGGTCCCAAGTTTAAACATTTTCCCAAGAAGTGAGGCTGTAAGGCAGAGGTGGTATTCAGCAGGTTCTGACCAGTTCTGAAGAACCAGTAGCGGAAATTTTGAGTAGTTCGGAGAACTAGCAAATACCGCTTCTGACTGGCCCCGCCCCCATTTATTCTCCGCCTCCCGAGTCCCAACTGATTGTCTGCGTCTTTTTTGGTCGCCCTGCACAGGAGAACGGAGCTGGAAAGCAGGTTAGTGGGGTGGGGTGAGAATAGGTATTTTACAGTATCCTTTCCCCTGGAGTGGGGAGGGAACACAGATTTTACAGTAACCTTCCCCTGCCATGCCCACCAAGCCACGCCAACAGAACCGGTAGTAAAAAAATTTGAATCCCACCACTGCTGTAAGGTGCCTCTTCGCCAAATCTGTGAGACCCCAATAATTCTTGATTTTCAGTCCAACTGCTTAACAAGGCCACACAAAGTATTTTGAGGCAGCAAGATCCCACACTGTCTCTTGATTTAAACCCCGTTTTAATTGAAGTTGTGTCTTTCAAGGGAGTCCTTTAGCATACATTTTTCTCTGCCTTGATGCCAAAATCAGTGGAAGCCTTTGGTGGGGGGGAAAAACGGAATTTAAAGCAG